TTCCCCTTGCTCAGCCCCGGTCAGGATTTGGTACCATGCCTCCTGTTAACACAAAGGAGATGTTGTCCCAACAGCATCTCAGAAGCTTTACTAGGAGCAATAACCCAAGCTTCACTCAAATAACATTTTATTTGCAGCTTCATACCCTGCCCTGCCTGTCCCGCCCCGTCAAGCCGCAGGGATGCTCCTATCGCTCCCGAGGGCTGGACCTGCCGCAGCGGCTCTGCGGAGCCCTGAGATGGGCTGTGATTTCCAGATTCTGTCTGCCTGGGAAGGGGTGCGCTTTGGTCGCTAAGGCTGAGGATTGAGACAGAAAACTTTTGGCTTTTGGGGTTTAGCTGTGGTGTGGCATTACTCGAGGCGCTTCCACGTCCCTCTGTTCTCGCCCGTGCGGTGGGAGTGCTGTCAAGCAGGAGGAGTACTCACTCGCTTTCCATTTCTGTGGGAAAGTTCTTGAAATTTTTTGAAACTCTTGAATGGCAAAGAATAGGTGAGCATAAAGTTTGATGTCTATGATGGGGTTTTCTACAGAAACAATCCTCTACGGCTGCACATCCTCTGGGTCAGCAGCGCTGGTGTCTTGGGAGGATGGTGGCAATCTAACTATTTCATCTGTCCGAAATAGCAGCTTTTAAGAGGTGGGGAAATGACTACACCAAAACTATTGTATGCCATCTGCCTGCTAAAATACTTATAGAAAACATGTTTCCTGGCATATAACTTCCTAGCCATATGTCTATTGCATCATTCACAATTAAATTAAATTACCCTTAAATACTTGGACAAATTCCCAGTCTATGTGAACAAGCCTTCATCGCCGTGCTGTTTGAAATTTGGACACTTGATCCTGTAAATGTTTAGTTGAAATTGGCTCAGCCGTTGTTAACCTTGTACAGCTGATACAGGCTGCTTCGAGATAATTCAAGTGCATGTTTCTTATTTTGGTCTTTAAATCTTTAACTATAAAAACTTGTTATGAGTCTGAAAGGGGGAAATAATTCTACAGTATTTGTTTGCAATGTGCTTAAGTCACTTTAAACTGAGGTTTAAATGGAGAGTCATATCAATGAGAAAAAGTGTTATCTTCCGCTCATTGAATAAACAGACGGAAATAACTGAAGAGCCTGGTTACAGCTGGATATTCTGAATATTCGGAATATTCTCGGAGGTGTGTACACACATACACACACACCCCCAACCGAAGAGCTTACCCGCTTCACAGCATCTCTGAAGCACGATTGTGAATGGCCGTCAGCCAACCAAGCCCGAGCAGCCCCGGTGAGGCCGTGCCAGCCTGGTTTAAGCTGTGCTGGCGGCAGGCAGGGTCCCGCCACCACCCCCCTCTGCCACGCGTCCCCGACGGGGACCGCGGCGATGCCCACACCAGGGGAACGGCTGAGGCTCAAAGAGCAGAGTGGTTGGAAGCATCTCTAGGGGTCTCTTCTAAAATCCTCTGAAGACAGTGCTTTCAATTAAAGAATAAGCTTAATAAGTAACTGATTTTTTTTGTTTCACTGGTTCCTCACCTGAGGATATGTTAGATTTACTGGTTGTGCCACGCTGAGCTGAGTCACTATCTTAAAATGAGTTTTAAGGCATACTGACATGCTCAGATAGTGCACGGAGGGGACATAAGCCGTAACGAAACCCAACATCCGTGACACAGGGAACGGCGTTAGATGCAGCCCGACTTCCACTGGAAACCAAACCCGGCAGCTTCCCATGCTGGGTGTCGGGCAGACCCGGTCAGCCTCTATTTTTAGCCCAGCTCTCTATTTTTAGTCTCTTTTTGAAAGGTGAAATAAAACCAGCAGCCAAACCCAGATGATTCCGTTGGTTTCCTTCATTCAGCAGCGTGGAGCCGCGCTGGAGGAGAATGGCAGGAAACCCGGCCGGGCGGAGGGGACACCCCGGGGGCACGGGGGGGACTGGCCACCGGCGGGGACCCACCATGGGGCGGTGGTCCGGAGCTCCCCTGCAACTCCCGTGCACACAAGGGGCTCAGCACGAGCTGGTTTGTTTTATTCTTTTCCTACAGTTCACTTATTTTTAATACCGAAATAAAATTTCTGAGCATTTCTCAGGGTTTTGCCTTCGCTGTACAGGTGTGATCCCCAGCCCTGTCCTGCCAGAGGCAGCTCGGCGGCTTTTCCTGATGATTTTTGGTGTGATGGGATGTTGGGCCTCACCAGATGGTCTTCTGTTTCCCTACTGGCTGATACCTTGAAATTTCAACTTTTTCTCTTCAGTTGTGTTATTCAACCCAAATTCTCACTTTAATGGCAAAAAAAAAATATCTGTTATTTAAATAGGACCTTTGTCTCACTCTCCTTTTCTCATTTCATCTTTTGAATATATTTTCTAAACTGATATGCACGCAAGTCTGTCTTATGTACCGAGTCACGCGTTTCCCAATGTGTCTGTGTGTGTTTGAGAGAGGAAAAAAGAGAAAATGGTTGATGGGAGCTGCTAGAGACAGCCGGGCTGTGGCCACACTCAGGTTTTATACCGTGCTGCAGACCATATTTTACCGGGATATTTTGGTCTTTAATAGAGCTGTGTAGCTCTGTCATTCAGTAATAGATTACTGAAATAATAGAAATCTTTATATAGATGTTGGAGCACATTTCTTAGCTACAGATGTTTCCTTCCAAGAGATATTTTCCTGTCACACAGTCACAGACTGGTTTGAGCTGGAAGGGACCATTAAACATCATCTCGTCCAACTCCTGTCCTATGCTAAAAACAAAAGCTACTGGAATTTTGTCATACCAACAAATGTGTATACTGGAAATGTTATTTACGGATTTCTTTGTACCTAATACTACCCTATCTTTTTTTTCTGCCTTTTAATCCTTTTGCTGACTCTAGCCATATGACTGTAGAAGTGTAATGGGGGCATCCACATAAAGATACTACATTGAGTAAGTGCTTCGTTGTCCTTCCTTCCATAGCTATTCTCTTTGCCACCTCATTTTTTATTTCCTGTTAGCAATGACTCCTTCAGCGACTGCACCATTTAGCTGTAAAAGAAAATGAAAAATTAGGACTTAACTAGAGTTTAGTTTCCCAAATGATCATATCTCTTTTTTTTTTTATCCCCAAAGGCCAAAATGATTGCTAAGCCATTTCTGTTGTCTTTGGTGTCCCCAGACAAAAAAATCAAGAAATAGAAACATCAAACTATTTTAAATAAAAAATATTAAAAAAAGAAAATAATTAATAATTATATTTTGGAGATACTCATGCCTCTTAAGGCCCCATTAGGCTGTATTCACTCAGCCTGCTGCAGAGCATCCCTTGTCCTGCCGGTCCCAGAGCTGGTCCCCCGTGCGCCCACGGTGCAGCCACGGGAGCACCGGAGAGCCCGGGCCGACCATTTCCACTCCATCGGGTTCAGCCTGGTAATAAAATCGAAGTCAGTATTGCTATACTGTTTTTAATGTCTCTGTAATGCGTTATTAATGGAAATGAGCTCCAGGAAGTTATTTATTAGCCTCGAGTCCCTCTTCTGCTCCAGGTTTTACGCAGAAGTGTTTGCCTGTGGGGTTTGGTCTCCCCCAGACCTTCTCTAAACCATCGCATTCGTGCTCGCTGTTTGACCAAAGTCAGTTTAGTGAAGCTAATGGAGTTACTTCTCTTCAGGTGAGCGATGATTTCGCATCCTTGAGTTCCTTGCTTAATTTGCTGAGAAAATTTCCACTTCTGAAGTCAGTTTTCAGAGTTTTCCCCCTTTCCACGGCGCTGGCCACAGCCCAGCCCGGGGACCCTGCACGGGGCTCGCCGCCGGTGGCCGGACCAGGGGCTTCTCCACTTCTCTGCTCCCATCACATTGTGTTTACTTGGCTTGGAGGGAAGTTTAGCAGCAGGCTCCCCTGCAAGCCTTCCTTCCAGCTGGAGCTCGTTGTATCCCTGCCTTCCCTTTAACGGGAAAGCAAGCAGCTCTCAGGAAAGAGTTAAGCCCGGCGAGGCTTCGGGCTCCTTTGCTGGGGAGAGGGTTGCTCTTTTGTTTGTTTTGAAGTGCTGGCAGGAAAGTGGGGAGGAGAAAATTACCTAAGTGATAGTGAGGTTGCCATGAACTATATAAAACTGTGAAATCAAATCGGAGAAACTCCACCTCGCAGTCTTGGACCATAAGCACAACCCCTGAAGAGAAACCCACCCCACAACCGAGTCATCTCAAAGGCTTGAACTAAACCCAAGCTACATGAGCTCAGAGCTGCTGCGGGACTGAAAACCCAAGAGCTGCC